GGGGGTGAGAAGGAGGCTGTTTCACAGGAAATGGAACCCCTATACCTGGTCCAGCCAGTAAGTGGCCCATCCGTGGCAGGGGGAACCAGAGGTGCTGAAGGTAGCTCCAGTGAGTTAGGAGTCTCAACAGTTCAGACTCTTACTGGGAAGTGAAGAATGCATTACATAGCAAAGGACAAAGACAGGGAGAGAAAGGCAGTGGCAGACAGATGTAGGAGCTGAGAGAACACGGAAAATGAAAGCCAAGGAACAAGCAACAATATGATGGGAGTCAAGAGGCCTAGAGTATAGGCCCAGCTCTGTCACTGACTTGCAGTGGACCCTGTGACCAGTCAGTCCCTCTTCTCAGGCCTCTAAGTCCAGTTTCTCAGGGGTAAGACTGGCCTAGGTACCTCCTGAGGTCCCACCAGCACCAACCCTCTCAAATTCTGTGTCAGAGAAATTGCCCTTCCTAGGCTGGTTCTGGCAGTGGGCATTTCTGAAACTAGAGTAATGAAAAATAGCACAAACCGAACTTTGGAAATTCCAAGTGTGTCTGTGCCTGGGACATGAGTGGAGCAGACCTGCAGAATTGTTTGTCTATGACTCAAAGCCTCTTGGGAGAAAGATCACATGTTCTCAGAGGCAGGACTGCTCCCCACCACCCCAGCTGCCTACCCAGCTTGAACTCGGTGGAGTCTCAGCTTATGGCCTGCCACCACCACCTCTGCTACTGTGGCCAGCACCCACTTCCTGCTGGCCCTCTTGTAAGAATCAGGGATGAAGCTAAGGCCCAGAGAGCCTTGCTAACTTGTCCAAGGATACCCAGAAGTCTTTACCACAAATAGGGGGAGGAGAAGAAAAGGAGTGGGGAGGGAAGAGAGTCCCATTTGTCCAGCCCCTCTTGGCGCCAAGCACAGTGCTTGCTCTTTCTCAAACATCTTCCTCCTTAATCTACAGAACCACCCTTTGGGGTAGGGTTTACGGTGCCTGAAACCAGTGTTCAGAGGGGCACCTTTGCTAGCTAAAAGGCGCATAGTGAGTAGGTGGTAGAGCTAAGATCCACGATTCAAATGCCAGGTTTGTGTCACTGCCTGAGGGTCTCATTGTGGCTGCAGCAAGCTGGCTTGAGTCAGGGGCTCTGGCTGCAACCTGAATAGCTTATAAGAGTGAGCTAGACTGTAGAAGGTGGCCCAGGAAAGTCTTGGGAGAAATTGTGGGGGTGATCTGCTATGTGGGTTGTGCTTCTCCGTATCTATGCCCCTCCCCTTGACCCCTCCTAGGGGTGGCTTGCACTGTCCCAGCCCCAATCCTGGGTGTGCTGAGTGACCCTGCCATCGGGGCTTCCATTTTATCCAGTGAGGGAGAGTGGGAATTGCTGCCCAGCCCCCAGGAACTGCCAAATGGGCCCAGGTACAGAGCAGAGCAGATCTTACACAAACAGGATTGGTGGCAGATAAGCTTTTAGAGGCAGAAAGATAGACCCAGAGAGAGACAGAGAGAAAACTGGATTCAGAGAAAATGGAGACTTACCAGAGCCACAGAGATAGTGAGAACCCGTGTGTGTGTGTGTGTGTGTGTGTGTGGGTGATAGAGAGAGAGAGAGAGAGACAGAGAGAGAGACAGAGAGAGAGACAGAGAGAGAGACAGAGAGAGACAGAGAGAGACAGAGACAGAGAGAGAGAGAGACAGAGAGAGAGAGACAGACAGACAGAAAGGCAGAGACAAAGAGACTGGAGAGAGACACACAGAATCAAAGAGATAGTAAGAAATGGAGAGACAGGCCAGGAAAGGGCCTAGAGGCAGACAGACAGAGAAAGGGAGACAGAAGCAAAGACAAGTACTGAGGGAGGCAGGGGCAGAGATATGGAGAAAAGCAGCATAAGGCAGAGATGCACAAGGGCAAAGAGAAGTGGCAGGTCAGACCTGTCCCAACTGTGTACAGGCTGGATAGCCAGGACAGCAGGCCCAACTCTTTCCTCCCTACCTTTGCCTTCCCTTCCCCAGTCATTTTTATCCTGGAAACACAGGAAAAACAATACTATTTGTTTGGCAAACTGGGATAAGCGGGGCTTGGACCCCCTCAGTCTTCTCCAGATGCAGTTGGCCACCCTTCCTCCTCTCCTCCTGGATTTACTTGTAAACACACGTCCCTCATCCTCTGTCCTGTACCATCCTGACATGCCACCCATTTTTGGCTACGACCTGTCCATCAGCCTCAAGTTCCAATGTCCTCCTCCCAGACAGGTAGACCTCAGGAAACCAGGCTGCCAGTCAAGATTTCAAAGGCTTCATGGCTGCTGCCTACCTAAGCCCAAGGAGAGGGCACCAGGGCTGCAAGGAAATTTCTCACTGCCATATGAGCCCTGACTGATCAGGCTAGTCTGGGTAAGATCTAGGTCTCCCTTGCAGGCCCAAATCAGACAAGAGCCAGTGTGAGTGTGCCTCCCTCCTAGCCATCACGCTTCCCACATTTCACCCATCATCCTTGGAGACCTTATGGTCTGCATCTTCTCTGGGTCCTTGAAGGCAAGGCAATGCCAACTCAGCCTTGCCAGCAGCCTTGCCCTCTGCCAGCTGTCTAAGGTGATGGGACGCCAAAGTTCCATGGAGCTTAAGAGATTGAACTTTCAGTCTTTAAGCTAAAGGGTGTATGTGTGTGTGTAACCTGCACCCCAGCAGTAGTACACGACCAGAGACCCGTGGCCTTTCCATACACTGGTGGCGGTGGGGTGATGGATTCTGTTCTCAGAGGATCTGGAGATTATACTTCACCTGGTGAGGTGCATCAGTTGCTTCAGATCCAGAAGCAAGAATTCTCCATCTGACCCAGAATGTCTGCTTGGGCATTGTGGGATGAGAGGACAGGCCTGAAGCTTGTTTACTCACTGCCTGGGGGGACAGACAGACCAGGACATTCTCGGTATGGTAGGAAAAGGGACAGATGTCTCTCTTTCCCCCTAACTCATTCCCTCTGCCCTTCAGAGACTGGCGTGGTGACCCTCCCTGAGGGTGGGGCTGCTCAGGGGTGGCATGGAAGAGAGGCAGGTACCAGGGTGTATAGAGGGGACTGGCAATAATCCATGACAGCCTCTCCCTATGTTTTTTGCCCCTCCCAGCCCAGTCAAGATGTTGGCTGGCATCCTTTCCTCAATTTGAGCTGTGACCCAGGCACCAAAGATGGCCCCATGCAGTCTGGTCACCCAGCCTAAGGAGAAACACTATTCCTATGCTCTCTACTCATTTCATAACTTGGAATACTGAGGCCAGTCAGTAGGAATGGCTGGGTTAGATCTCCTTCATCAGAGCCAGGGTCCCCAGAGGCCCCATGTGATCGAAACCTGTTCCTAAATAAGACCAAAGTCTGTTCCTACATAAGCACTGCCAGCAGCAGAGAGAACCCCCCAGTGCCATCTCAGGGCTCACTCAGACTGGGTATCTTAAGGATTGCACTTTGTATTTATAGTCTGTGTGCCCACAGGGGTGTCCAGGCGGTGCCTGCCACACAGCTAACACACTTGATTTCTTTCAAAGAGGCAGCATAATATTGGGGGAAAAAACATTCAAGTTCGTCACCCCTGGGTTTAACCTAACTACCATCTCCTAGCTGTGTGGCATTAAGCAAGTCCTTGAACTCTGAGCCCCCACTGTCTCATCAACAGAAATGAGGGTAATCTCTAGTGCCTGCCTGCCATACCTAACCCACCAGCCCTGGGTCAAAGGGTGGTCATTCACTTGGCCACTCAAAAAAGATTGATTAAGCACCCACCATATGCCAGACACTGTTCATGAAGAAACGCCATGAACAGAGGAGACAAAGTCTCTGCCTTAGAGAAGCATCCTTTCTCGAAGCAGGGCATTCCATACACAACAAAGAGCTCATATACCATCAAGCGGTGGTGAGTGCCGTAAAGATAAAGCCAGACGAGGAAGTAGGGAGTGAAGGCAGTGGAGACCTGGCTTCATCCACCTGTTTTCCTGCCCTTTGGAGTCTATGTCCACATGGCTCCTTGCTTGTGAGGAGCCCAGCCAGCCAGGCAGAGTAGGACACTGACCTGGAAACCCAGTGGCCTGGACTATTTCTGTCCCAGGGCCCTGGCCCTGACCCAGCCCAGATCTCAGCCTTCCCAGTTTCCCCGGCCCCAATTCACCAGCTAGGCAGAAAGCTGTCTCTGTTTCCCTCTTGCCAGTTTCATTGCTGCTTCCCAGAAGTCAGCCTGGACAACCCTTTAGGCTTGCCCTGCCCCCGACCCCGTATGTGCAACCCCTTCCTGCCCCCATCTCATATTCTATGTACAATCAGGACTGCTGCCATCCTCCACCCGCAAGCTAGAAGGCGGCAACTCAGAAGGGGCTTAGGCTTTAATGAAGTGCTACTAATGCCATCTTCTATGACCTGACAGCAGAAGAGTGAGGAATGAAATCGGTTTCGCTACACAGAGACCCTCTGGAGCTCATCCTCTCTCTGCCAGTCTGCTTGCCAGGACTCAAGCATACCGTGGCATGGTAGAGGGTGTAGTGCCCGCAGGGGAGCGGAAAGGCAGTAGGAGTGTCCTCAGACAAGGGGAAGGTTGAAGTGCCCAAGCAGAGGGGTTTCTTCATGAGGTTCTGCATCCCTCTGGACCTACCCTCCATAGCTATGTTTGGGGACTAAGGGCCTAATGACATCTCTTTTTACCCCTTCTATATGCGTTTGCGTTTATGTTTTGATGACTGGGGCTAGTATGCGTGTTTAAAATTATCAAGAATATTTTTGTTTGTAAAAGTTAATCAAGCTCATTTTAATAAATTTAGGAGATATAGGAAGTATTAGGAAGACAAAAATACATTTCCCACCACCCACTACCCAGATATAATCCTTTTCACATTTTCGTTTATGCCCTGCTGTCATTTTCTATGCCACGCTCTAGAGCCCTGTGTAGCTTTACTAATTACCTCCCCCAGACACACACATTTTAATATACTTGACAACACGGGTAATAACAACAGCTAACGCTTATCCTATTCCAATACTCTTCCAGGCCCTGTTCTCTGCACCTCGCCTACATTCACGGAATCATTCTTCCCAACCATCTTGAAAGGTGGGTACTATTATTAACCCTGTTTTCCTTCTGGGAAAACTGGGGTAAAGGGAGATTGGCTATCCAACCTCAGGTCATATATCTAGTAAGTGGCAGAGCTGGAAAATGAATCGAGACAATCTTGACTTCCAAAATCTATGCATTTAATAATACTAGATAACCTGAATATTTTAAAAATTATAAAATATATTACATGTAAAAAGAGTATATACAATGTCTGTGCCCAATTCTAGGGAGAATAATAAAATGAGCATTTGTGGTATCACCATCCAGCTTATGAAATAGAGTATCATTGTCCATGCTCCTTTGCTCTCTGCTGCACAAGCCATCAAGCACGCGTCCCAAAGTCATTCCAAACTCTTGAATAATATGGCTTTTTAGACAGCAATGAGATTTGCTCCTCTTTAACCTCCCAGTTTCCCCTGAGAACATTGCCTTCCTACAACTCATGGGAAATCACGGGAACCCAGTCCTCTGCCCCATCTGGGATAGGCCCTGGGATACATGATGGCTGGCCGGCTGGGCTTGGTGGGCGGCCCACGCAGCTGCTCGGCAGATTCTTTCTATTCTAGCACCAGGTACATGTCAGCCCTGCAGTCATGCCTTTTCTCCCACTGATGCGTATCAGCCTGTCCTCTGGCAAAATGGAAGACAGGAAGAAGGGATAATGGCAGAGTGGAATGGCAGGGCAGGAAGGGAGGAGGTATGAGTTTATTGAGTCCAACTCAGCTGTAGGACCCAATGTGAAGGACTGTCGCTCACATCTGAGAGGTAGGCACTGAGAATCCTCACTTCAGTGGGCTGGGAGGCACCCATTTATCCTTTCCTTCAACACATTTGTTGGTCAGCTACTACATGCTAAGCACAATGCTGTGTTCTAGGGACACAGAAGCAGAGGAGACAAACACCACTCCTGCTCTCACAGAGGGTCTACTCTAGTGGAAGGACAGACATTCAATGACTAGTACCCAAATGATTTAATTATGGTTGACACGAGTACTCTGAAAGGGAGTGTGGGCTGCTAAGTGGGTATAAAGCAGAGATGTCTTGACCTGGCCTTGGGGTAGGCACAGCCCTTAAAAACTTGGCCAGCCTCATCTCCTGCAAGTGGTGAGGGTGGGGATGGCAAGGGCACACAGGGATGCTATCTACTTAAAGTCACTTTCAAGACTCAGAATCTACTGGCTGGTGGCCTTTGGCCTGGACCCATATGAATTGAGTAGTTTTTCCCTTTTCTTCCCTCTCCTTCAGTCACTACTAGGGGATGTGGAAGTCTTGGCCCTGCTTCCTTGCTGAGTCCAACACTGAGTGGCAGAGACTCAAAGGAGCATGTGGCACAGCCAGCAAGGCAAGAGCTGCCCCAGTCAAGTATCGCCCTGTTGAGTAGGCTTTCCCATATTCCGGCTCTCCTGGTGGCCCAGCCTATATGGTCTTGAGCCTCACCATCAGCGTCTGCCCTTCTTGGAGGTCTCTCCTTCCCATTCTGCACCCATGTAAGTGCTCAAGCCCTGGTGAGAGGATACTAGCCTTTGCTCTGTTTCAGGAGACACTGGGTCTGAAAGGCCAGGTGTCCAGGGTCAAGCCTGACTCATTTGGGGGCCCTAGGTGGCAGAATGAGACCTCTTCCTAGTCTTGCCCATCTATCCATCCTTTGTGTAAAATGCTGAAGCAACACAGTGGTTAAGAACACAGACCCCTGTGCCAGGTGGCTGGGGTTTGAATCCTGGCTGTGCCACTTACTAGTTGTGTACCCTTGGGCAAGTTATCTAACCATCCTAGGCCTCATTGTCCCACTTATAAAATGAGGATGACGATGCTAGTACCTATGTCATCAGATGGTCACTAAGACTAAATGGATGAATGTTTGCAGAGTGCTTAGAATAACACTTTGCCCAAAGTAGAGATAAAGATGACCTCTTTGTAGCTTTGCTGTCTTGCAGGGCCTGACGTCAGAAGCAAGTGTTACTCTGAGCCCTGCCTTGGACATCCACAAGCAAACCTATCACCCAGAGTGTGGAAGCTGGGAAGAGTTTGTTTCTTTCTTCTGTCAGAGATTCATAGAGCCTGAAGCTGGGAAAACCCTCAAAAACAATCCAAGTCATCCACTGCCCCCTTTCCAATGGATAGGAAACCAAAGTCCATGGAGGAGGCAGAGAGTGAGTGACAGAAAAGCTGTGACCTTGGTCTTTTAGTCACAGCTTCAGTCTAGGTTGGTGGCTAAGCATTAAAGCTTGGATTTAAATCTGCACTTTGGCACTTGATGGTATGTGATGACTGTATGACCTCAACCAAAAACTTAACTTATGGCAGCCTCAGTTTCCCGGTCTGTAAAGTGGGAATGATAATATCTATCTCATAGGATTATTAGAATAATGCATGTAAAGTGCTCAACATGAAACTTGGCACAGAGTAACACATGTTCATTATCATTGTTATGCCAAAAGTCTTTCGCTGTACTAGGTTGCTGATGCTGGCACCCAGGTGGCACTCACTAAGGAGGCCAGGCCAACCTAACCCTAGGGCTCACCAACCATCCCTGTGCCTGTTTGGCTGGTTTATTCTTTTCCTCTAGTCTCAGACCCTCTGTGCCTGCTGTGAAGGCAGCCTGACTGGCTTAAAATGGAAATGACCTGTCAGGGGCCTGGCTGGACTACAAGAACTTTGGCCTAACAATGAAGGAGATGCCAGGTGGCAGTGTAAAGGTATCACTCATTCTCCTTGCCTGAGGGGGAAAGTGTGGCTTTCTCTGTGTTCTTCCTTAGGCTGAGCCAGGTGGGAGACCCAGCTTCCTTGGAAGTCGCTTCTGGAGTCCCTTTGAGCTGGTGTTGTTCCCCTCAGAGGCTGTCACAGAATGCCCGCTTCAGCAGTTCTTCAGCCTGGCTGCCCATCAGAGTCCTCATGTGGAGAGCTGCACCCTTGACTCTGCTTTGTTGGTGAGGACAGCGTCCTGGACACAGCCGTTGTGGTGAAGATTCCCGGGTGATTCTAATGAGAGCACCTGCACCAGATGCTGTTTAAGGTGCAGCAGGTGATTCTGAGATGCTTGGACTGAAGTTCCTGGGCTCAGGAGACACCAGGGCCAGTGGGAGACAGGACAGGTAAGGGAACGGCAAAAAGGTGATGGGATTTGCTCTATGACAGGGGTGTAAAAGTCTACCCGGGTTGCTTCAGAGAGGAGGTAGCATTTGAACATGAATCATCCATGTAGTCAACATTCGGGGACTATTTATTGAGCACCCACTACGTATCTTGGACAGTTCCAGATGTTGGCGATATGGCAGTGACGCAGAGGAAGTCCACGTCCTCCTGGAGCTTCTATTCTAGTAAGGATGTCCCATGAAGAGTCCATGGGAGTTTGATATGCATGGACGCAGGAGAAAGGTACTCTAGGGAGATGGAGCATCATGAGCAGATGGCAGGAAAGAAGAGGGCTTATTTTAGCAGTGATATTTGATGTGGCCAGAGCTTTGACATGAAATACAGAAGTGGTAAAAGATGAGAAAAGAGATCCAAGTAGGACCCTGATGATGAGAGCGGGTACTTGGAGGCCCTGTCCAAGAATTGGAATTAATCCTGATGACAACGAGGAGCCATGTCAAGGTTGTGAACAGAGGAGTCACTTGATCAGATTTGTGTTTAGAACAATGACTCTGGGGGCAGTGTGGAACAAGCTGGCCCACTGGCCCATCCTAGGTGGTTCTTTCTCGTGAACCTATCTCAGTCAAGATCCTAAAGTTTTGGTTTCCTCTCGAGGGGGGCTTACATGAGGCAGGGTTTGTAGGCAAGGAGCAATGAGCAAGTGGCCACATGTTGGGTGCACTCTTCCAAACCTTGTACAGATAGGAACTTATTTAATCTCCACCACACCCGCTTAGGTAGGCATGATTCTTATTCCCATTTTAGAGATGGTGAACCTAAGGCTCAAAGAACTGAATCCACTTTCCCAAGGTCACATAGCTGGTAAGTCACAGAACCAGGATTTGATCCCAGGTGGTCTACACCCATAAGCACTATGCTGTACTAAATACCTATTAACTTCAAGAACTCATGGTCTCGAAGGTATGCCATAGAGGCATCTTCGAAATTCCTGTGCTTCCAAGAAGGCAAGTGTCATTTAACCTCATTTTGACCTTGA